TTATTAAAAAAGAAAAACTGAAATATCACATGGTCATAAGTATTCAGACCCTTTGCTCAGTATTTAGTAGAAGCACCTTTTGAGCTAATACAGCCACGAGTCTTTTTGGGACAGAACTGGAGAGGATCTGCAAGGAGGAATGGCAGAGGATCCCCAAATGCCCAAATAGGGTCTTATATAAGGTGTGTGGCTTTCCTAATCACGTCCAATCAGTATAATCAAACACAGCTGGACTCAAATGAAGGTGTAGAACCATCTCAGGGATGATCAGAAGAAATGGACAGCACCTAAGTTAAATATGAGTGTCACAGAGCAAAGGGTCTGAATACTTATGACCATGTGATATTTCAGTTTTTCTTTTTTAATAAATCTGCAAAAATGTCAAATATTCTGTGTTTTTCTGTCAATATGGGGTGCTAATGATGTTAGCATATGGCTGCAATATAACAGAGTGAAAAATTTAGGGGGGTCTGAATACTTTCCGAACCCACTGTATAAGGTGAGCAAAAACATAGTCTGACTGACTGAGCTTAGTCTTCTGATGACACCACAGTAAAGTTTGTTTAGCTGTTTTATTGCATCAGGAGATGCAGTATTGCTGTATATTGAAGCTAAAGTATTTTGATTTCCAAGTACTATTGAATTACACAGAAATCTTAATTGGAGTCAATGGTGAGAATTCTTTGTAGTTGGTGAGTATGTCAGCAAATTGTAGAGAAGAGATGCCATTGAGTCATCTGTGCAGCTAGAGACTGGCAAGTGTTGAGATGTTGCTTCACAGCTGGTAGAATGGCATTTAAAATGAGTTTTTCCATTAGCATTTCAATTATTGTCTGGGTGAGATGACCAGTCCATAGTGGTTGAGTTCTAAACAGGTTAGTTAGAAATGACTGAGGATGTTTTACAAAGCTGTGGAATGATTTATGTAGACGATGGTGGCAATATTATGCACGTCAAGTGCCTCTTGTATGCTTTACTGTAGCACACCTTAATTATTTATTAAATTATTTTCACATGAATGTTTCAGATTAGATATCCAGTGAAACACACAAAGGAAAGTACATTAACTTGCATTTAATTTGGAGACTTCAAGCAGCTTTATAGGATTATATCAAGCAGAGTTTATGATTTATATTATGTAGATCTTAAAGATAACAGTATGTTAGTTAGGGTCTTAGGAGGTCCATGAAGCTAATTTATTTTTTGTGACCAGCTCCCAGAGAGGTAAATGAAACTACCTGCAGCTCATTGTTAAAACTACTGTAAAAAGCCACCTGATGACTAAACAAGTACCAAAATAGTAGGCAACAAATAATTCAGTTGATAGTTGAGGAATGTCAAAATGTCTGTTTTTCCATATTTTACTTATTGTTATGCAGTGTCTTCTTGCATAGAACTGACATATTTCTTGATGCGGGGGTTTGGAAAGTATGCTTGCTCACTTGAGCTTTCCGGTGGGCGAATTGTGTGTTTTCAGCAAAAAGCAGATTCCCCTGATGAACTTGCAGAACTCGTGAATATGAACCTGGCTCAGCTCTGCTCTCTGCTCATGGCTCTTTGGGGTCAGTTCCTAGAGGTGGTGTCCCTGCAGGAGCATGTTGCTGCCCTACTATCTATGGAGCACCATACACTAAGAGTGAGTCCCAGCTTCTTAGTTCATCTCCATTTTAGATATCTGACTAGTTATCTATGAAAGACAGTTATCCTTTTTTTTTTTCTTCTAATAAATTATACTCAGACCTCTGAGCAATTCTTTTGACTGACGTACTCTGTAATGTGATATTATCACAGGTAAGGCGGTTTGCTGAGGCTTTCTTTTGTCTCGAGCATCCAAGAAATTCTGCATTGGCGTATCAGGAACTACAGTAAGTTGCAGGGGCATGTTCATCTTTATTGTGAAATACTGTATATTGTTGCTATTAAGCTGCCAAGCCTGTGCCAGTACTTGCTCATCTGAAATACTATAGCCTAAATATAGAAAATCCTGACTGTTTTATTGTACCCCCCCATCAGTGCTCACAGTCACCAGCAGATGACTAATGCTATAAAAAGCTCCAGCTACTTTCTGTCTTTACCTCCACTTCCTGTGGAATGTGCAGACCTGGATGGTGATGTTAGCTCCTTGCCGATCATCTTTGAAGATAGATACCTGGATTCTATCACTGAAGGTAGGTTACACAGTATTGGTGCTGTTATATGTAAAATCATTAGTAGTCATCTCTAAATATCTTTAATCAAATTTGAACTTTTTTTATTTATGTATGGGTTTTTTTTTTTTTTTTCATGATGGACCCTGGCTGGGAATGCACAGTACAAGGAGTGGCTCAGTGTCCAGTAAACCAGACAAGGCCAGCTCCAAGGACTGCAGTGCAGCAGCCAGCCCCATACCCGAGTCTCAGTATGCCCCGGTGGATAACACTTGGCCAGACAACTATGATCCACCACCTAAATCCAAGGGCAAGTCAGTCAAACTGAAGAAAAATTCAAAGACTGAAAACTCCAAGAAGCTGATAAGACAGGGCTCCAAGGACTCTGTGGTTTTGGTGGGCTATAAGAATCTCAAAGCTCCTTATGCAGACACCAGCGCAAAGTACAAGGAAGGGGAAGCTCCCCTAAACCAAGAAGAACGAGATCAGGGGGACTCTAGTGGTTTTTTAAGGACTAATGCCAGTTCGGCTTTTGACTCTGGTGCCACATCAACAGTATCTGAAAACAGTGCTGTTAATTCTGTTGCGGATGACAGTGTAGCTACTGCTGCTTGTCATAAAGATTTCTTTAAAAATCCTACAAACTTGGATGTACAGAATAATCCTCAGGCAGGTACTGCGGCTATCACTTCACACAACCAACCACTTCACAAAGATGGGCAAGCTGACCACAGTGTCCAAAAGCTCCCACAATGGTCTGCTGGGCTGAAGCAAATTGAGGTGAAGCCAAGTAACAAGGACCCATACCAAGGGGATAAAGTAACAGTTCTTCTACCATGTCGGAGTGATGGAGCACCAAGTAGTAATATTCCTGAAATAACCCAGACAAACCTCTGTGACTCACCGCTGTCTGTGATGGACTGTGCATTTGAAAGGCCAGGTAAAGAGACAGCACAGCGTAGCCAGTCCTGTCTGGTCTCAGTTCATGTAAAGAGCGATTGTGTCAGACTCCCAGATGGAGGAGCCCCCAGTGCTTCGTCTCGCCTCTCAGACTCAGGCATTGAGAGTGAACCCAGCTCCTTTGCCACTCAAGTTGTTCCAGGACTGCAAACTTGTGCTGGGCTGGGTGTTGCTGAATCAGGTGTTGCTGCCCCACAGCCTGAGAGGCCCCTCCTGGGTCCTGCACCATGGCCTGTTCAACAAAGTACTGCACAGAAGCTCGCTGGGGCAGGAGAAAATCTTTACCCAGAAAATTCCAGTGGTGTCAGTGGAGTCCAGTCGTCTCTCACATCTATCAACTCTTTGCCCTCAGATGACGAGGCCGAAGGTTCCTCTAGGAGTTCCAGCGGAGCTGAAGTCCGAGGCAGGAAGTCCAGTGTGTTGGTGCAGGAGCAGAGTGTAGTCTTCTCTGGGGATATCAGACTTGTATATGATGTGGCCTGCACCCCTAACACTGGTGCAAGTGATTCCCAACTTATTAAACCTGCCTTTGACTTGGAAATAGACCCCAAATTAATAGGCATTTCTGAATTCAGACTAGAGGGAGCTGCTGGCTCTGGGACTGGTAAAGAACCCCGTAGTGAACCCCGTAGTGAACCCCATACTGCCTGCCCCTCCAGTAATTCTGGCACCAGTAGCACTGACCTGGTAAAACGTGGGTTGGTAGAGAACTACTTTGGCTCATGCTCCAGCACAGATGTTTCTGAGATCAGTCCTGTAGAAACATCTGCTATCACACTGGGAATCCAGACAGGACCCCAGGCTGAGGAGGATGAGGGCGAGACGGAGCATGAGATGATCGAGAACGGTTACTACGAGGAAGGTGATGGCTATGCTTTTGTGAATGGTGTTGTTGATGAAGAGCGAACAGAGGCTGGGGACACAGCTGCTCAAGAGACACATCTTCTGTTTGGACAGCTTAGCATCAGCTACCTCCATGAAACAAAGGATTTATCAAAAGCTCCTCTCTGCTCCAACCGAGCCTCCAGCAGCATTGGATATAGCTTTGGAAGACTTCCTTGTCCCTCCACCTCGCTTTCCTCTAGCCTGCGGTGGTATGAATATGCACCCACACCACAGATGAAAGCGTGAGTCACTCAATAATATACTTTATACAGATATTTGTCCAGTTTCACACATTATAAATTAATGTTCATCAACTTATTAAATTGTAAATGTGCAGATTCATCAAAGCCAAGGAAGAAATGAAGCATTTAAGGCTACCTGGCATCTTGTACAGTGAGGTACCTGAGCTGGCATCCAGCGTACCCTATTTCAGCTTGGAGGAAGATGAAAACTGTGAAGAAGGCATCCATCTCATAGTCTGTGTTCATGGACTAGATGGTAGGAAACTCATCTTCCAAAGGAAATTTGTTTCTTTTTAGTATTTTTTTGTGTTCAAAAGTCATTTATATGTTTTTCATGTTCCCTTTAATAATGCAGGTAATAGTGCAGATCTAAGACTGGTGAAGACTTACCTGGAGCTTGGACTGCCTGGTGCTCGTATAGATTTCCTGATGTCTGAGAGGAACCAGGTCAGTGGATAATGACACGAACAGTGTTTAAAACTACTATTAAACTTGGGAAAGTTGTGCCTATTGTTGAGTTTAAATGGGTAACATTGGGTTTTCTGATGTCGTACTTGAGTCTATTTTTGAGGAGCTAACACAAGACATCAAAATATATTGGAGTCTTGTGCTTGTTCATTTCATGTTCCTTTCATCTACAGAATGACACCTTTGCTGACTTCGAGTCAATGACGGACCGACTGCTGGATGAAATAGTCCAGTATATTCAGATATACAACCTCACAGTGTCAAAGATCAGGTAAGATGTTTGTCTCTACTGAAATGAAATATGAGAACATGTATTAAGAAAAAAAAATCAAGGATAAGTAGCTGCATGAGGCAGTGAGACACGATTAAACCCATGTGTGTATTTTGAAACCCACTTTATAATCCATATTGCTGATGTTAAACATATGGTTATTTAAATTTTATGTCAGTAGCGCAGTTGGATATTAATGTTGTTTGGTGTCTATAAGCCTCTGTATTCATTATTTACAGCTTTGTGGGTCATTCATTGGGGAACCTTATAGTCCGCTCAGTGCTAACCAGGCCAAGGTTTAAATGTTACTTGAGCAGGCTTCACACCTTTCTTTCCCTCTCTGGACCTCACTTGGGCACACTGTACAACAGCTCTGCTTTGGTCAACACAGGTAAATGTCAAAACATTCAGTTGATGTTGGCAGAAATTCCGGGAATGCCTGTCAATTAGCTAATTGACAGTGTCTGTGATTGTATTCTCTGTCTGTGTACTCTCAGTGGTGGATCATGTTAAGTAATTGTTCAACTTTGTTCATAGGCCTTTGGTTCATGCAAAAATGGAAAAAGTCAGGGTCGCTCCTGCAGCTTACGTGTCGTGATCACTCTGATCCTCGCCAGAGTTTCCTCTACAAGCTTAGCAAGAAATCGGGTTTGTTTTTTTTATTTTATACCAAAGACAGGCTGTACAGTATATGTGGAATATGAGACTGTAGAAATAACCTTTCTATTCATATGCATTTGAAGGTCTTCAGTTTTTCAAGAATGTGGTGCTGGTGGGGTCACTGCAGGACCGCTATGTCCCCTACCATTCTGCTCGAATAGAAATGTGCAAAACTGCATCAAAGGACAAGCAGACAGGTGAGTTAAAGTTAAAGCAAGATGGCAGTCCTAAGGGCTCTGACAAACCAAGCTGCAGTCTGGCATTGGGAGCTGTATTTCACCAACCAGCCTCATTATTATTTGCAAACTATGGTGTGTAGTTTGTAAGTATTTGGACAGTGACAAGACTTGTTTTGTTTGTTTTTTGTTCTTTTTTTTTTGGTGCTACTTTTAAGGTTGATGGAAGGTGTTCTTCCTTCTGTTCCTCATTTATTTTCTGAATTCTTGATGTTCCCCTGTCCTCATTTTCTTTATTTCTTTTAAAAAAATGACTCAGTTTTATTGCATCATACAGTTCTACACACTGGATCTTAAATTGACTGAGGAAAATGGAATGGATCAAACCGATGGAATGGATCAAAGCCATGTTAAGCATGTTTCCCTCTTGTCTATACCAGGTCCTGTGTATGCTGAGATGATTGAGAACCTGCTGCTGCCAGTACTTCAGAACAAAGACTGTAATCTAGTGCGATATGATGTCATTCATGCCCTGCCCAACACAGCCAACTCTCTTATCGGCCGGGCCGCCCACATTGCCGTCCTTGATTCTGAGATCTTCCTGGAGAAGTTCTTCCTTGTTGCAGGCCTCAGGTTCTTTCAGTAGAACTGTGGCAGAATCAAACACATGACTGGATGAGAGAAATGTGGAGCTAATACCTCACATCTAAACTTTATTCTACTTATGCTATCTAGATTATCACTTGGTTTTTAAATATATATACTTTTCAGAGACATGGTCAAAATCACAATTTCTTTAATGTTTATTTTAGAATTACAGTGCATATGGATTTCCTCATTTTTATTTTTCTACTGCAATGTTTTAAACATAGTTTCAATTTTTAGTGTTTGGGGAATGATTTCTCCCATCATATGCTATATTCTCAGTGTTATTTATGTGTTAGAGATTTACTTTCTCCAAGTTATTCAGTTAATTTTAGATGCTGAAATGGAAATGTAGCTGCTACACAAATGAAATGGTTGTATTGGTGAGCTGGCCCAAGTGAAGCCTGCGTGTACTGTCCTCACCATTGCAAATGTGTTTCCACCAGTTTTAAGAGAGACTGCATTGATTTGCACCACAACTACATTTTACAAGCTTTTGTACTGAAAATGGTCATTTGTACAAGTTACTTTTTTATCAAAAAGTTTTTGTTATTTTTAAAGGCAAAGATTGCATTTGAAATAGGACTGTAGCTCAGATTTGCATCCTTGGCTTTGGTCTTAACATTTTATGCTGTTCCTCGCCATTGCAGGATTCTACTCATTACCCAGCCTGGTGTTGGGAGAATAAAGCTTTGCCTACAACATAACTAGATCTTATTACAGGGGATTTAAGCAATGATCATGATTAATCAAAAGCACATGTAGGAAATATTAACTTGTTTTATTTAAAGTATTTGGTTGGTATCATTTGGTGGTTATTTATGTGTTTAACCTAGAAAATGTTGCTTGGAATTTTAAATAATGTTTCTTGAACAACAGTTTATATATCATCATACTCTACCATTAAATATGCATCTTATAAAGTTGGTTATGATTTTTCTTTCTCACAGGATTTTAGTTGTGTGACAGTCTGGTCATAAAGCGTTTTGATCACAAAATGCAGGAAATAGATCTATCACGAATAAAATCTTTAGATTGTAATTGGGGTTCCTGCAGTTTATAAATGAATTAACTCATTTTGACATTAGTTTAAGTCTGGTTTTGATTTAAATTGATATACTCTAGGCTATATGCACTATTAGCAATAGTAATCATATAGTTTCTTTGGTACTTCAACTTCAAAGTTTGTATTGTTGTTGTAGTGCCATTTTTTTCAAGGATTATTCTGGCATTTCTACTTTAGTTTGGGGATTTACATTTCTTTGTTTCCAATGAATCCTGTGGTCCTGCAGATGGCGACATCACAGTAAGATGTCCTGTAGAAACCTACAGTAAATGTGGGAATTTCTGGTATTAATCTACATACTGTAGGTTTGTACGTGGCCTCAGAAATATTGCATTAGAAATAGGACTGTAGCTCAGATTTGCATCCTTGGCTTTGGTCTTAACATTTTATGCTGTTCGTCGCCATTGCAGGAAATATGTAGATTTTAACTTGTCATTCGCTCAACTACTGTATATTTTACCACTCTGACCTAGAGTTTAATAGCTTTTCTGCAAATTTAGTAGTTCTTGAACCAAAGGTAGGTAATTAAAACAAAAAAAAAAACCTCATGTAACTGATAGTATTTACCACTACTAACAACAGCCTCAACTGTTCCCAGCCACTGACCAACAACACTTAATGTTTGGTCACCTATAATTAGCACGAGATGGCCGTACCAATACAGAATATGGGGGTATTTACCTGTTTTGTACTGCATTGAATTATGTTAATACTCCTATATGTTAGAGGGAGATATTTATTTTTAGTTATGGTACCTGCGAAATAAAATGAAAATAACTATTGATTTGAATGTGAAAATAGTGTGAAGGTTTCCAACACTGATTGTACTCCCCTCCCCCGGAAACAAATGGGATGGCTCTATCAGTAGGATTTCACAATGGCATATGAAGCGGACAAGCTGACGTCTTACTTCTATCATGTCCTCAGTTGATAAATGAAAACTGTGTGAAGCACGTAGAGAAAGCCTACGAGCGTAATTTTAAGTCCTTCGCCTCGTACGACGTGAGGGTAAGTAACTTAATGCTTCCTAACTAGCTAAATTAGCTGTCAGCCTTAGTGTTGCACTTGTTGCTTTAGGTTGTTAACAGTCACCGTCCCATCCAACCAAACGCACACTTTTCCCTTAGGGACATTATGCGTAACATTACTACGACAGGTAGTAGAAAGACACTATAAAAGTTGTTTTCACTCTAACTTTTCCTGTATATGATTTAAACATGCGCCAATTACTTAAGCTACATAGAACTAGGGTTTGCTAGTCGAGAAACATTATGTTAAATAACGTTAACGTATCAGGCGACCTATTTGGAGAGTACCGGCGCATCCAAAAAAGAGGGTTAAATGCACAGCAGTTCACTAATACGTTGGCTTATTCTGTAAGAAAAACTCAACACTAATGTGCACTGCTTCCCCAGAACCGAAAAGCTGGTTCACCCTGTTGTTTTCATGTGGTGTGAGTGTAAGTTGTGTTTTCCTGTTTATTCGGGAACCCCTTGTTCCTTTACAGTTTAATGGGCTGACACTTAAGACAACTTGCATGGAGCGGGGGAGGCTGTTTCTTGCACAGCCAGCACTGCGCTCAGAAGTAGGGATTATAACAGTCTTGGAGGGGAATTAAGGATGCAGATGGCTGCTCTCATGTGATGCCGCGTTTCACCCCGCTCAGCTACAAGGGGGATGTGTGGAGACCACAGCCAGTACTGTTTGGACTGGTGGTAAACTTGGGATGGGAGGTGGGATGCAGAGAATACTGATGTAGCTTATACACCTGAGTGCATTTTGGATTTGTGGCTGAGAAAGGTTGGTATGGTTTCACCTCACTCAGTGGCAGTTCAGTACTGCTCATGCATTTCACTAGCTGTTTCTGATGTTCCAGGCATTTGCTGGAATATGACAGCATCACATTGTTTTTAGTACTTGAATGCTAATGTGCACTGAAACTTGTATCTGTTTTGTCCAATACAGCTCATAGATAAATCTATATGGGAAAGTGTTCAACATAAGCCAAACAAATGCTACTAAAGGAGGAAAATAATTGGCCAAACACTGCATTACAAGTATAGCTGAGAAGTCTATTCTATACTTGAACACGAGACCAAGAGACCATCCACATTCTTGTACAAAGTATTTTTATCATTAGAAATCTGTTTATATGTTTCAGTCTTGGAGCTTCACATATGAATTGCTCAGAAATCACATCTAAAATCTTTTCTTCCAAGATCTCAGTAATCAAAATTAGCATTTAACTGTCATCACAAACTGTATGCCAGTGTATATTTTTATAATTACAAAATATCCATACAATATAGCTCACATTATAGTGTCTGAATTGACCAGAGTACATTGCTGCACCACTCATTATTGGCATAGATGATACTGAAGAATGACTTCACTTCCAAGGCTCAAAGTAAATAATGGTTTAAAAATTATGTAGGCACTTTGTATAAATTGACAGTGTGAAAATATACTTGGTCTTTTTTATTTGTACCATGTCATGGTAAGGGTTCAGTATAGTTTGACTGTCATAAACAAGTCAGATATTTAATCTACTGGAATTTCAGGTTTGTTGTATTTTTTTTATTTTTTTTATACCTGTTTGTTCTGACACCCAGAGATGTGCATGAGGCTGTGTTTGAACATGCCCATAAAAACCATGTTTTACAGCAGCTACTACATCTTGTTTTGTATACTGAATGCACTATTTTTTATTTTCTTCTGATTTATCTTAACAATATGTTTGCCCAAAGATCTCTTACCATGCTGGTTGGTTGTTGCATTAAATTTTGTATATATATTTTCTACTTGCATGAGATTGGCCAAGAACTGGCTTCTTCATTCACAGATCGTGTGTGTGTGTGTCCCTTGTATTTGCTTCTCGTTTCTTTTGTTCCTGGTCATTGTCCGGAGTAGAATTTAAGGGGTTTAGAGTCGGCGCACAGCAGTAATTAACCTGATTAATTGATTTTGAGAGGCTAATCAGATGAGCTTCATACGAGTTGGGGCTTAGGGTCAGCATAACTGGGGCAGGCTTCAGGTGAGGCTTGGTTGCACATAGATTGTCCCCCTCTATCATGGCCATTTGTTTTAGTTTGGTAAACAGAATCTGCAATATAACTGTTACTTTTTATAATTTTTGCTGCTGTAGTTAGAAACAGAATCCACAGGGGTTATCTGATCAATGTTTTTAGTTAATGGCTGTTAGTAGGATTACAGTACGATAGGCTTATTGAATTTGTCTATGGATTTTTCTGTTATACATTAATAAGCTATTGTAGTGTTCGTTGATGATTTACATCAAGATGCTTTTTAAGTTGGACTATTGTTTATTTGAATGTTTTTTTTTTTTTTTTTCTTTTTGGGTGTTTCCTCTGGGAGATAACTGGTGATCAAACATTTGGCATCTGAACTCCTCAGAGGGACAAGCCATGTAGAGTTAATCTTGGCTGTGGGATAATGGGAGACACCCGTGTACACGTCTTAGTATGAGGTTGTTCTGAAAATGTTCAAATTTGACTTTCTTTCAGTTTGTTATTCTGATCTGAGACTAGTTAATAACCAGTTTTAAAGTTCATCTGACATCATTCATACTGAACTGTGTTTTATGTGACTTTGCTTCTGTATCTCACTTTTGATGTCATCAGTTTTTTTGTTTAGTTTTTTTTTTTTTTTTTGTTTGTTTGTTTTAGATACAGTATGGATGAGCTGCCTTGGAACAGATAGAGTCGAGGACAGAGGGAACAAGAGAAGGCTGAAGCAGTTTAATACAAACAAAGTACTTATCACAGACGTACACCAGATATTATGTCCAACTCGATAAAGCGGGAGAGAACCATTTGTGTTCTCCTCCCCAACAAAAAACAGCTCGACGTCACTGTTGGGGTGGGTGTTTAATATGTCTGTAGCTCTCCAATTGACTGCCACCAAGATGTTTTAACAGATGGTCTGTTTATCACTACTATATTGAGTTCTTATTTCTTTTTCTCTTCACCTGCTCCAGCCAAAGTCCACAGGGCAGGATGTTTTTAATCATGTGGCAGAGCATCTTGGAATCAAAGAGCTGCACTTTTTTGGCCTCACAGTGGTGAAGGGTAAGTTCATTCCTCAGTGACCCCTAAACCTCTGAACTGGAAAGTGTTGTTCATAGAAATGTTGTCAGAAGAACCCATATGATCATGGGATAGGACATTTTGTTGATCAGTTCTTGTTACATACCACTCTGCAGCAGTCGGTGAGATTGTAAACGAGCATCATGTTTGCATTATGAGAACAGTTTACTGCAGGGCTGAGCAGTTCCAAGATGAATTTTGCCTTCTCAGTCTGCATAATCGAATGGTATAATCCTCTCTACTTAACTTTCTGTTTCTTTGAGGTCCCCTTTTGTTTCTTTGCACAAATATGTTGAAATGCCTTTGTAGTCTTGTGTGGCTCACCACTTGAACAAGAAGCCTTTTGTTTTTGTGGCGTTGGTTCAGCGATCACTTAGCCCAAATTCCTTCAATATTAACTTCATTAAGCCTGGAATGCACCCATGCATTCCTCCCCTTCACCGAGGGGAGGGATAGATTGATAATGGGAAGAGGAGGGTGGGAGTGGAGGCAAAAGATGTAGAGGGACTCGTCATGGCACAGGCCGCCTTACTCTTACTCAAAGGCTCCAGTGAAGGTTGAGAGGTGAAGGAGCTGGAATGAGTCAGGCTGAGAGCGATGGGTAAAGGAACAAGTTGTGAAACAGCTCAGTGAGCATGATTTGGCTGCACAAAGTTGAATAGGGTCATTAGAAAATGCCCATGTCCTGACTCATGAGGCTGAAAGTGATGCAGCATCCTCATTCTCAGCAACAAACAGCTTTTTTTTTTTTTGCCTTTCTACTGACAAAATTCAATTTTTTTTTTTATTTAACAGCATTAACATTGGTAAAGTGTTACATTTGGGAAGATTCAAGCTGTCCTGTGTTGTCATTAGCTTCCTAGTAGCCTCATTCACAAAGAGAAGAACAGGCTGTTTCCTTGGGAATCCTGTTGTTGGGCACATTTTACGCTTGATTACATTACTCTTTGTTTGCTGGTTAACTGTCTAATTTGTTTTGTATTTTGTTTTGTTTTTGGGTTGTTATTTTTTTTTTGCCTTTCTCCATCCCAGACAATGAGCACATATTTTTAGAAATGGAGGAGAAACTGACTAAGTATTTTCCAAAGGAGTGGAAGCAAGATTCAGGAAAGGTAAGAGAGCCCGTTGCATTTTGCTGTGTCCCACTCTTCTCACTGTGACTCATGCTAGGTAATTGGGAGCCACACATCAGTGGCCTACATGTCAGTTTTATTTAGAATAACAAAACGATGGTAGTGCTCATGGGCCTACTCTGACATCTCTTTCTATGTACAGGGATCACAGAGGAAACCCTTGCCTCTAGTACTCTGCCTCAAAGTGCAGTACTACATAGAGAATGGTAGACTCCTTTGGTATGTTGCGCTATACTGTACAGCTGTTTCAGTACTTGTCTTTTTTTTGTCATCCCTGCTGACATCTTTTTTGTACCTCTCACTCCTTTTTCTTTGGGTGTCTGGTACCAGTGAACGAAAGGCACGGTATCTCTACTACTCTGACGTGCGGGAACGGGTGCTTCGCTCTGAATGTCGTCAGCAGGAGGAGGTGTACTTCCAACTAGCAGCTTACGCCCTACAGGCTGACTTCGGTGACCACCCACTTCCCAGGGAGGATATAGAGATCAAGCCTTACTTTCAACCCAAGGATTACTTTCCCCCTTGGGTAGGTGTTGCCATGTGGCAGCAGCATTTTAAAAACAGCTCGTATCTAATGCGTTCTTAAATTTAATAGGTTTGTCCTTAATAGATTTGAATGTTTTTTATATTTTGAGATAATATTGTGATCCCTGCCTAATACATGTCTGTCTCTTGCTCTTTCTGTAGATTGTAGCTAAACGTGGAGTAAACTATCTCCTCTGCCATGGGCCCAAAGTGCATCAGGAGCTGTGGGGCATGTCTACACGTGATGCCATCCTGCACTTCATCAGGGAGTCTTGTTGGTTGGAGGATGTACCTGTCACGTTTTACAGATTGCAAAAGGTTATGAGTCAATTTAGTACTCCCATGTCATACTGAGTTTTTCTAGGACCCCGTACTGTGCTCATTTGCATATTTTGATTTGTATCATTAAAATAAGAATTGATTATTTGGGTTTTTGGGTAATATTTTAATCTATGACCTTTCCAGGGGTATTTCTTCCCTCTAACTGAAATAGTCTCTCCCAACACAAATACAGTTAGTTTGGCTTCATTTGAGCTGTGCTGGACATTATATGTGTAGGGAGGTTATGTAACCCCCATTTATTCCTGTTTGTCCTCCTCATTTCAAAATCACTCATCTATTGAGTGATGTTTTGCAGGCTGGCCCATTTATTGTGTAATGTGCTATCACTTTAAATGTGGTGTTAGCAGCTGCTTAGTGTTTCCCAGTGAGAAGAGGAGCTTAACTGTGAAATAGCTGTCTTATCTGAACTGCCCAGATAACTCTCTGACATCCCATCATTCATTTGTCCAGGACAAAAAGGAAGAGAGAGGAACAGCAATGCTTGGTTTGACCCTACGAGGAATGCAGGTTTATCAGGTGTGTGCATGTGCGAGTGTGTCATTAATGCCCAGTATGTAGTGTCAACACACAAGTACACAAATGTAAATCTGGGTTGGCTCAAAAATTCAGTCTCTCTAGCTGTACTCCTATGAAACCTCTGGTTAGATGTGTGAAGAATGTGGGGTTGCCACCAACAGCAGTGCATGAGGAGATAGGAGCATCTGCTGTGCCTGTCACTTGTTTGATCTGTCCGTCAGGGGCCATCTGGGAGGATTAGGGCTCCAGGCCTGGTTCAGTAAAGAGCCAACAAACTGAGATACCTTAAGAAGCCTTTGGCTTCTTCACCAAGTCCAGATGGCTCCTGTGAACAAAAAGATGACTGATTATTTATCACTATTTTTAAAATCTATCAAAGTAGATTACACATCCAGAAATCCATGCTGCTTTTTTCAAACACAAAAGTCAAGAAGCATTTGAGTGATTTATTTTAATTCTATGTGTATTTGTAGGAAGTAAACAACATTAGACAGCTGCTGTACGACTTCCCTTGGTCAAATGTGGGACGCCTCACCTTCCTGGTATTCACACTGCTCATTTCCAATCTCTATTAAGCTTAGGTGGAATCCTTTTAATAATTTAATGGTTAATGGTTTGGTTGCTATGTACACTAAGTGTAATGTTTTCCCACTCAGGGTAAGAAATTTGAGATCCAACCAGATGGCTTGCCATCAGCCAGGAAGTTGGTTTACTACACTGGGTCATCATTCCGCTCTCGCCACCTCCTCCTGCACCTGAGCAGCAGCCATCGTGTCTACCGCAGCCTCCTGCCTGCCCTCAAACACCTCCGCCAGCTGGAGGAGAGCGAAGGTACAGGAAGGAGTGAATGCAAATGAATATTAGTGATAATTTGGTTGGGGGCCACTTGAAATCAGCAAAACACTTTAGCAGCCACTGGAAGTAAAATGCATAACTTAAAGATAAGGCCGGTCATTTTCTATATTAATAATATTTTCAGCAATCTCCATCCAGAGACTGACACAGACGATGAATTGCCTCTGCACACGGTTAATGTCTGTCAGTGTGTCAGTTCTGGATTAACATCTTTGCCTGTGCCATAAACTTATGCTATTGTTCAGAAAGGATTAAAAACAGAGTGAAACGTGCTGCTGCGCTGAGCGACATGTTTACTAATGAAGAAACATCAGACCCGAACGTGACTAGCTGTAAAGCTCGAAGAATTGTGACATTAAGGCTCAAAAATGGCTGCAGGTCACATGACTCATGGATCTTTAAATAATTCCAGTCGATTTAAGATCCATTGTTTTTTGTAGGAGGTGGTGCGGTTAAGTCATTTTTTCCAAGCAAAAAAATCAAAAGAGTTCCTGTTCAGTAATTGATATATAGTAGTTTATACACAGAATACAATTTTTCATTTGTTACATTTGGAAAAAAGACAACGCAATCATCTTGAGTTGTCTATTGTTCATTTCAGAGAAAAAATGTTACAGAGAATCGTACATCAGTGATGACCTGGACTTGGACCCCCCAGGCAGTGAGAATAGCCCTGGTCTGTCCCGACACTCCACCAACAGCTCTGGAATTGAAGCCGATGCCCGCCAACACAGCATTTTCACAGAGATGGCCTCCATGGAGGAAGAAGGTCAACAGCAGTCAGTGAAGTGTTTCAGCTCAGCAGCCAGCTGTGGCAGCTCCTGCACCTCTGGGTTTGGTGCAGACAATAAGACTCAAATAGAAGAGGAGGTGTGGCAAGAGGAAGGTCAGAAAGTTTTTAGACAAACATTTGTGCAGGAAATTGTATTAATCATTCTGCATGTACAGTTGTTACAGAAAGTATTCAGACCCCCTTAAAATTTTCCACTCTTTATATTGCAGCCATATGCTAAAATCATTTAAGTTCATTTTTTCCTCATTAATGTACACACAGCACCCCATATTGACAGAAAACACAGAGTTTTTGACATTTTAGCAGATTTATTAAAAAAGAAAAACTGAAATATCACATGGTCATAAGTATTCAGACCCTTTGCTGTGACACTCATATATTTAACTTAGGTGCTGTCCATTTCTTCTGATCATCCCTGAGATGGTTCTACACCTTCATTTGAGTCCAGCTGTGTTTGATTATACTGATTGGATGTGATTAGGAAAGCCACACACCTGCCCATATAAGACCCTACAGCTCACAGTGCACGTCAGAGCAAATGAGAATCATGAGGTCAAAGGAACTGCCTGAAGAGCTCAGAGACAGAATTGTGGCAAGGCACAGATCTGGCCAAGGTTACAAAAAAAATTTCTGCTGCACTTAAGGTTCCTAAGAGCACAGGGGCCTCCATAATCCTTAAATGGAAGACGTTTAGGACGACCAGAACCCTTCCTAGAGCTGGCCGTCCGACCAAACTGAGCTATCGGGGGAGAAGAGCCTTGGTGAGAGAAGTACAGAAGAACCCAAAGATGACTGTGGCTGAGCTCCAGAGATGCAGTCGGGAGATGGGAGAAAGTTGTAGAAAGTCAACCATCACTGCAGCCCTCCACCAGTCGGGGCTTTATGGCAGAGTGGCCCGACAAAAGCCTCTACCTCAGTTCAAGACACATGAAAGTCCGCATGGAGTTT